TGCACTATGTGCAGATCCCGGAACAGCTTACGAACAGTAGTTGGAGGGCTTCCTTCAGTCCATCTGGAGACCCAAGGTAGACCTGCAGGCGTTCGCGGGCCCTGGCGTCTCCCTCTATCTCTATTCCCTGTTTCATTTTCTTTCGTTTAGAAACAGTTTATTGTATTTTCTTCAGGCCTTGTTTGTAGTAACTCTTAGATAGTCCGTGACACCAGGTTTTGGGTATTGAGATTTTGAAAGTTGTAATAGACGTAGTCTTGAGTTATAAAAAAATTATTGACTTCCGCTTATTTATTTAATTTCGCTATTTTCATGTTATCGCTGGTAATTAAAAAAAGTAAGTAATTTGTTAATGAAAAAGGTAGTTAAGGGTTGGCTTGCCTAGCTCTCATTAATAGGCGCCATCACGACTCCCGAGGGTGGAAAATTCGGGTCGTGACAAGGAAATATGAATACAGAAGGATGGGTGACACCTCATAACACAAGGAAGTCTCATAAGGAACAAATACAACATTCATCAGCAGAACACAACACTTTCAGTGTGCTAAGTAAGAGCAGTACAAGCAAACAATCATAAAGCAGACAAGTCTCAAATGGGGGAGGCACTGTCCTATCTCCAAAAGGTCATGGATAGTATGTTAAGCTGGAATGTTAGGGGCTTAAATGCTCCTAACAAACAAAAGGAGGTAAAACTCCATTGTACTAATGAAAATATAGATATAGTAAACTTGCTAGAGACTAAGGTGAAAGCTGGCAATATGGAGAAAGTAATAAATAATATGCTTGGAGGATGGAATTACATTACAGATTTAGAGTACCATTATAATGGTCGAGTAGTTGTAGCATGGAGACTTGATTACTATCAAGTCAGGTACATAAGTGGAACTGCCCAAAGCATAACATGTTTAGTTACAGATGTTGTTCTTCAGAAGGAGTTTTATATGACTGTCACACCTCTTTTTTACCACCCGAGGGGTTATAAGGGAGTTTTTCCAATTAAAGTGACATTATTCGATATGGAATTATTTATTGATTCAGAGTCGTCACTTGGAATATTTATGGTGTCCCAAGTCACCGATTTATTTTAAAATCACAAATCGAGGAAAATCGACTTTATTTAAAAGTCTGCGAAACCAAAAATCTAGGTAAGGAATTCTGTTAACCCACGAGAAGGTGTTAGGTATTCCCGGGTTCCGTGGTTTGAGCACGGTCGCTTAACTATTAATAATTGACCTAATTATTTGATTTATTACATGTTTTAAACCTATTGTATTTTTTTAACTTATATAATCGCTTTTATTTATTTAAACGCTTTTTAGGATTTATGGAATTATTTCTTGAACAAGTTACGATTGTCGTACACTTGTTGTTTTGGGACACATCACAAACCACGCTACATGAAATGCACCCGCGATTTGCGACATATTTATTTTATTATTATTAAAAGTTATTATGATCGGGTCACATGAAATGCACATCGAATTTGGAAATTAAGTATCATGACTATGCCACGAGAGCCGTACCCATAGTCACGATAATTTATTATAAAATGCGCCTAAAGCAAACTACGAATGTTCAAAGTATTTTCTACACTAGTTATGAATGTCCAAAGTGTCTTTCACACTAGTTGGTATTAATGTGAGGGACATGGATTATGAGTTTTATTTGTATATGGCACGCCTCAATTTATTTTTAAAGGGAAATATTCAACTATTAGTAATTCATTAGTTAAAAAACCGACATTTGCCAAGTTTGCACCTAAAGCAGACTACGAATGTTCACATTTATTCTTAAAAACTAAATTGAAATTCAAAGTAAAGCTACTAATTAAAGATAAGCATTGGGTATACATGCTAAATTTTAATTGTTTTGGAAAAGGTTGGGCCAGAAGCAGGACCATTACACTATCTAAGGAAAGTTTCGTAAAAAAATATAGCTGGTGCTGGTTGGGCTCGAAACTGGGCCCAAGAAGGAAGACAAGGGAACAAGCAAATCCTATTTTATCCTGGCAGTTTTCACTTGGGCCAGTACAGGCCCAACTTCTCAAATACAAACCTTCAAAAATTAAAGCCTATCCTTAACAAAAATAACTTAATCAAACAAATGCTGAAGACAACTGGGCTCTTAATTAAGCCCATCGATGAAAGAAATCGAGAGCATGGTCATATTGGGCTTGGCTTTAGCCAGGTCGCCTCATATGGGCCAACACTAGGCCCAATCATTTTTACCCAAGTAGCCTCTAATGTTAAGGCTCTATGAGGCTTGATTCCTTTTTGCTCCTTAACCTCCTCAAATACATTAATCTCAAACATGTAATCACACTATCAATTGCTAGATTCCTAGATAATTAAACTAAATGTACTCAATGCCCCAAATGATGCAGCAGCCTCTAATAGTATACTCTAATCAGAAAGCAACTGTAATAATTAAACATCTCAACCTTTGAACAAAACATGGCACATACGAACTAATTTAGGCATTCATTTATGAAAGCCTTTAGCTAAACAGGTCTAAAATACTCAAAAATAAAAGCTGGGAACAACATTACAAAAAAGAAAGCTAAATGACTTGAAAGCAACATATGTAAAGAAAAGAGTGAAATTCAAAGATTAAACAGTAATCTTCAGGCCACAGAACACAACTTTGAAAGGAATAATATACTTGCACTCCACTTGTTATTCAAGATTTGAAGAATACCTGGTTACAAGGAACAAAAGGGAAGATAAGAAATCTTTGAGAACAAAGGAAGCAGCAGAAAAATCAGTCGAAATCAGCAACTAACAACAGCAAACCCCAGCTTCAAATTCAATCCATTTTTTTGACTTTATAAAACCAGAAATTCCCAGAACTTTTCTAACTATTTTTCTTCTTAAATCAAAAACTGGATCAGCCACCAATGTAACAGTATAGCTAAACTTTTTTAGGGTATTGTTGGATCTGAAAAATCTCTCCCATGAGTGAAGAAAAAGTACTATATATAGGCATAAAAATGCCATGTGCTGAAAGAATAAAAAAATTATTCCATCAGCCACAAAAGGCGTATTTTAACAGAATTGGATAACTGGTTGTCCCTAATTGGTTTCAGTACTTTTTACTGGCCAAATAGGGCCAGCTACTCATATTCTAGAACCTTTCTTCTTCCTAGATATTTTTTGAAAATTATCCTAAGTTTCTTTTAATTCAATTAGACCCTTACAAGTTCCTAATGAGGTACAAATCAAACAAACAAAGACCAGGCCAAAAGGAATTGGAATCCAGATCCAAATGACAAACAAAGTTGAAATGATGCAATTTAAGCCCCAAAATTGACCTAATCAGTAAATAACAATGTTCATCTAATTAAACCTAAGCCAAGCTGAATTTAAATGACTAATGCACCTAAACAGAAATCAAACCAAAATTAAAATGGAACTGCTAAGACAGCCTAGAAATTAACCTAAAACAAACACAGAACATAAGATAGAAACATGGAAGAAATAGAAACATCATTTTATGTATCAAAACTAAAAGTAAACCCTAATTAAACCAAATTCATGCAATTGAAGATAGATTTCAAATACTAAAATTCCAATCATGCTTTAATTAATCTAATAAACAGATGCCAAATAAATAAACAAAACAACCGTGAAGAACAGGAAACCTAAAACTGCAAACCTACGACATATGGCTAAAAAAAAGAAAGAAGATGAAAGAGATGAAATCAAAAAGAAAAAGAATGGAAAAGGGTTTACCAAGGACTTGCTTTAAATTCTGACTAGTTAAGAAATCGGACAAGCTTCAACGGTGTGAAATGAACTTGAACTACCATTAATCGACTGTTCTCAACAAGAACAGTCGACTAATGGAAGTTTTGGATTCAAACATGCCAAAAATTGACCAAAAAAATCAAAAGAGGGGGAAAAGCTAGGGTTCAGTGGATCTTAGATTTAAGATTCGAAGAACTTGGCGGGAATTTTTGGGAAATTGACTGTAGTTTAGGGTTCGGAGGGGTGTGAGGAGTGTGGGTTGTGATTTTGGGGTGATTTGGTCGATTTAATTGGGTGTGGATTCCAGATCTAAGATTCGAGCAATTTGGTAAGGATTTGAGGGAAATGGTATGGGGATTTAGAAAGGGGAGGGAAAGGTGATTGCAAGGTGTTGATTTGGAGTAGTTTGGAGAGGCTCCACCGCTGTAAAGCGATTTTCGGGCGGCGGAGATAGGCGAAGCCGGTGATGGAGTCCTAGGGCGGCAAGGGTTTCTCTGCGATTGGGGTGAGAGATAAAATGAGAGGGGTAGATGGGGGGTCTCTAATTCTGACAGTCTTATACTTAATTGTAGACAAGTTCCCGGCCATTAGATTTATGATGCTCAACGACTGGGATCAAAAGGGGGCAATACGGGGTCGTTTTGGGGGGTAAGGGTTGGACCGGGTATTTGAAAGGAATTGGGCTTGGGTTTGGACGGATCTGGGTATATGATTTGGGCCCAATTTCAAATTAAACCCTTTTTTCAATTTCTTTTCTTATTTACTTTTTTTCTTTGTTTTTTTTCTTTTTTTCTTTAATTAATTTAAATCCTAAATTAATCTAAATTGCAAAACTAAACTAATTATCTATGTATAATATTTACAAAAATTAGTTAATCCTAAATTAATGAAGAGAAAAATACTATTCCAACATTTTAAAGATAAAAATGTAAATGAATGATATTTTTTGTGATTTTCACCTTAATAAAGCAATTAATTAATTAATTAATCCTAAAATATGAAAACAAAATTTAAATGAAATGCATGGTATTTTTGATATTTTTTCATAATTTTAACAAAATTAAACGTGCACAAAAATGCAAACAATTAATTGCAAAAAATCCTATAAAATTGCAAATAATTAAAAAAAAATCTATTTTCTTTATTTTTGTAAGAGTATTTCACATAGGGCAAAAATCACATGCTCACATGACAGCTGTGTACGCTTTTAATACAAGTGAAGAAAGAAGAAGTTTATGGCAACACTTAGAAAGTATGAGTGGAGGAATAAAGCAACCATGGTTGGTAACAGGGGATGTCAACTCTGTCCTGTAAGCAGATGATAGAATAGGAGGACTTCTAGTTACTATGGGTGAAGTGGTGGATTTCCAAGAGTGTATTGATTCTTGTGAACTCATGAAGTTACCCTGTGGAGGATGTAGATACACATGGAATGATAAACACGGTGATTATAGAGTTTTTTTCAAAAATTGATTGGGCATTTGTCAATAGAGAGTGGATGGATAATATGTCAGTAGTTCAGGCTGAATTTCTAGTGGAGGAAATCAGTGATCATTGCCCACTTAGAATAAAGAAAGATACAGGAGGAGTGAAGAGGAATACAACTTTTAAATTCTGCAACGTGTGGGTCTTACACTCTCAGTTTAAAAAGGTTGTAACACAGGGATGGCAGCAACAAGTTGCAGGGTGCAGTATGTTCCAAGTAGTTAAGAAACTGTCACGACCCAATTCCCGAACCCGGTCGTGATAGCGCCTCTCGTGAAAATAAGGCCAGTCAGACCAAAACAGAACACCTCTTTTAAATATTTAAATATCATAAACAGTTCTAAAGCATGATATAATATCCATAATTTGCGGAATTAACGATAACAACAGTAAAAGCCATCCCGACACAGCCCAAACCGGGGTGTCACAAGTCATGAACAACTAATAAATCCGGATACCAGTCTACTAGATACAAAATTCGATACAGAAGTTCAAGAACATAAAAATAGTAAGATAAGGGAGGCACGGGGGCTGTGAACGCCAACAGCTACCTCGTAGTCTCCGAAAAACACTGCTTGGACTGGAAGGATCACCACTCAGGAGCGGACTTTGCGATGCCTGAATCTGCACACATGGTGCAGGGAGTAATGTGAGTACTCCGACTCAGTCAGTAATAATCATAAATAATGGCTGAAAGCAAGACAATATGTAAAGGCACAAAGCAATTCTATGTCAAGCAGTAAGATCACTTAAAGAAGTAAATCCATGAAGAAGTCAAATGAAATTCCTTTAAACCAAGTAAAACAGGTAATTTAGTAGGTAAATAACAAGTAGAAATCTGCCCCTCGGGCACAATAATAATCACTTAGAACAGCATCAGCTCCTCGGGCTCACTCTCATCACTTAGTGCTCATTCTTAGCTCTCGACCCATATATCTCTCATAATAATAGAAATCAGAATAACCGTTGCGGTGTACAGCCCGATTCATACATCGTTGCGGCGTGCAGCCTGATCCATATAGATAGTCGATTGCGCTCACTGGGGGTGTGCAGACTCCGGAGGGGCTCCTACAGCCCAAGCGCTATATTGTTGCGGCGTGAAACCCGATCCATATAAGTATTGTTGCGACGTGCAACCCAATCCATAACATATATAATATCCTCGTCATTGGGTTCTCAACCCCTCTCAGTCATTAACCTTACAGCCTCTCGGGCACAATAATAGAAGATAGGGATCTCAGCCCACAAATCCTCTTATTTAGGAATAGTATGATAAAACCGGCTCGAATCATTTAAAACAGATAGAAACATGACCGAGTATATGATTTTTAACAAGTATAGTAAGGAAAAATCAGTCAAAATTCTCGAAGGGTTCAAATAGTTGGCACGAAGCCCAAATATGGCAATTAGCCCAAATCATGATGATAAAAAATAAGTTTCAGTCAAATACGCGGTAAAATCATCAGTTGGGACGGATCAAGTCTCAATCCCCAGTAGTAAAAGACCACACGCTTATCATCCAGCGCGTGTCTCACCTCAATATAGCAATACGATGTGCAATCCGGAGTTTCAAACCCTCAGTACATCATTTATAATCATTACTCACCTCGAACCGACTACAACTCTAGCTCGTGACGCCTTTGCCCCTCGAATCGGCCTCCACGCGCATCGATTCTATCCAAAATCAGAACAAATACGTCACAATTGAAAAATATCAAAAATCCCAAAATTAGCAAAACCCGAGCCCCGGGCCCACTTCTCGAAACTCAGAAATTTTCACATCATTAGATTCCTTATCTCCTCATGAGTTCATACATATCAAAAGTTCTCAATTCCGACCTCAAATGGTCCATCAAATCCCAATTCAAAAGTTCAAAATCCCAAGCCCTAGTTCTTCCATTTTTAGCTTAAGTTCCAAGAATTTCTAGGTTAATTTCACAAAAGATTCGAGTTTTAGGTTCGAAAATCTTACCTCCAATCAATTTTCCTTGAATCCCTCTTTAATCCCTTTCAAAAAGCTCTCAAAATACTCAGCTATGGAGGAAAAATGGCTCAAAATCGCGGATAAAATGACTTATAAACTTTTTGCCCAGGGGTTTTTGCATCTGCGATCCCACCACCGCTCCTGCGGTACCGCTTCTACGGTAATTCCTCTGCATCTGCGGAAATCACTTAGGGGGCCAGGTTCCGCATATGCGATCCACGAGCCGCATCTGCGACTCCGCAAGTGCGGTCCATATGCCGCATCCGAGGTCCCTGGCTATTCTTCCCAAACCGCTTCTGCGGCTCTTCTTTCGCATGTGAGGCACCGCACCTGCGGTCCCCAATCCGCAGGTGCGGAAATACCACAAGCAGCAACTTTTGAGATCTCTTAAGTCCAAAATCTTCCCGTTAACCATCCGAATTCACCCCGAGGCCCCCGGGACCTCAACCAAAAGCACCAATATGACCCAATACCTTATTCAAACTTGTTCCAATCATCAAAGCACCTCACACAACATCAAATTACTCGAAACACATCGGATTCAAGCCTAGTTTTTGAGAAATCTTCCGAAATACGTTTTCGATCAAAAACCCAACCAAACTACGTCCGAATGACCTGAAATTTTGCACACACATCCAAAATGACACCACGAATCTACTACAACTCTCGGAATTCCATTCCGACCCTCGGATCAAAATCTCACCTACCAACCGGAAATCGCCAAAATACTAACTTCGCCAATTCAAGCCTAATTCTACACCGGACCTCCAAAACCAATTCCGATCACACTCCTAAGTCATAAATCACCTCCTGAAGCTAAACGAACCATCAGAACTCACATCCGAGCCCTCTAACTCATAAGTCAACATCCAGTTGACTTTTTCAACTTAAACCTTCTTAAAAGAGACTAAGTGTCTCATTTCTTACCAGGTCCACTCCGAACGCAAACTACTAAACTCGATCACATAAAACACGGATAACGAAGCATAATGAAGCAGAAATAGGGGAAACGAAGTAGTAACTCATGAGACGACTGGCCGGGTTGTCACATCCTCCCCAACTTAAACAAACATTCATCCTCAAACGAGTCAAGAAACATACCTGAAGCCTCGAATAGGTGAGGATATCTGCTCGGCATATCCCGCTCGGTCTCCCAGGTAGCCTCCTCCACGGGCCGACCTCTCCACTGCACTTTCATTGAAGCTATATCCTTTGACCTCAACTTCCGAACCCGACGACCCAAAATAGCTACTGGCTCCACATCATAGGTCAAATCATCCTCCAACTGGACCGTGCTGAAGTCCAAAACATGAGACGAATCTCCAATATACTTTCAGTGCATAGAAACATGAAATACCGGATGCACGCTAGATAAGCTGGGTGGCAAAACAAGCTCATAAGCCACCTCCCCAATCCTCCGAAGCACCTCAAAAGGCCCAATGAATCGCGGACTCAACTTTCCCTTCTTCCCAAATCTCATAACACCCTTCATGGGCGAAACCTTCAGCAAGCCCTTCTCACCAACCATGTAGGACACATCTCGAACCTTCCGGTCCGCATAACTCTTCTGTCGCGATTAGGCTGTACGAAGCCTCTCCTGAATCACCTTCACCTTCTCTAAGGCATCCTGAACCAAATCTGTCCCCAATAGTCTAGCCTCGCCAGGCTCGAACCAACCAACTGGAGATCTACACCGCCTCACGTACAAAGCCTCATACAGAGCCATCTGAATACTCGACTGGTAGCTGTTGTTGTAGGCAAACTCTGAAAGCGGTAGAAACTCATCCCATGAACCTCCGAAATCAATAACACAAGCACACAACATGTCCTCCAATATCTGAATAGTACGCTCGGACTGCCCGTCTGTCTGAGGATGAAAAGTTGTGCTCAACTCCACCTGAGTACCCAACTCTCTCTGTACGGCTCTCCAAAACTGCGAAGTAAACTGAGTACCTCTATCTGAGATGATGGAAACCGGAACACCGTGCAACCGAACAATCTCCTAGATATAAATCCCTGCCAACCGCTCTGAAGAATAGGTAGTGCATACCAGAATGAAGTGCGTGGACTTGGTTAGCCGATCCACAATCACCCAAATAGCATCAAACTTCTTCAAAGTTTGTGAGAGTCCAACAACAAAGTCCATAGTAATCCTCCCCCACTTCCACTCGGGAATAACCATCTGCTGAAGCAAGCCACCCAGTCTCTGATGCTCATATTTCACCGGTTGACAATTAAGATACCGAGCTACAAATCCCACAATATCTTTCTTCATTCTTCTCCACCAATAGTGCTGCCTCAAATCCTGATATATCTTTGCGACACCCGGATGAATGGAATACCCCGAGCTATGGGCCTCCTCTAGAATCAACTCCCGAAGCCCATCCATATTGAGCACACAAATCCGGCCCTGCATCCTCAACACACCATCATCACAAATGGTCACGTATCTAGCATCATCACGCTACACTATGTCCTTAAGGACAAGCAAATACGGATCATCATACTGGCGCTCTTTGATGCGATCATATAAGGAAGACCGAGAAACCACACAAGCCAACACCCGACTGGACTCCGAAATATCTAATCTCACAAACCGATTGGCCAAGGCCTGAACATCAACGGCAAGGGGTCTCTCCCCAACTGGAATATATGCGAAACTCCCCATACTCACTGCCTTCCGGCTGAAAGCATCGGCCACCACATTGGCCTTTCCTGGATGGTACAATATGGTGATATCATAATCCTTAAGTAACTCTAACCATCTCCGCTGCCTCAAATTAAGATCTTTTTGCTTGAATAAATGTTGAAGACTACGATGATAAGTGAATACCTCACAAGATACGCCATACAAGTAGTGCCTCCAAATCTTCAATGCATGAACTATGGCAGCCAACTCCAAATCATGAACAGGGTAATTCGTCTCATGGGGCTTCAACTGTCGAGAAGCATAAGCAATAACTCTACCCTCCTACATCAATACACAACCAATCCCAACTCTCGAAGCATCACAATATACGGTATATGAACCTGAAGCCGATGTCAAAACCAATACTGGAGTTGTGGTCAAAGTTGTCTTGAGCTTCTAAAAGCTCTCTTCACACTCGTCCGACCATACAAATGAAACGCCCTTCTAAGTCAACTTGGTCAAGGGCGATGCGATAGATGAGAATACCTAAACAAACCGGCGATAATAGCCTGCCAGCCCAAGAAAGCTATGAA